GAGTTGGCGTTAGCTGAAGTGCCCTTCTGTGTCTTGTATCTTTTCTTTTCACCCTGCCCCAGCCTGTAACAGCTCTATTTCATAGATAACAATTTCCATTTTCTTGAGAAATTGTATAACTCATACATCCCTAACTAAACTGAGCTGCCCTTTCAGTTTATGTTTAGCGTTAGAATCTGCTGTTTCTGTTTCAGACACGAGGAAGACTTGTGCGTCTGCTAATGGCCATTTTTTTCAATTGATCAGTTAAGAGAGAGCTTCTCTACCTCCAAACCTTAAAAATAAAAACTCTTTCCTGTAACATTTTCTAAGGAATCACTCTTTCTAGTTGGCAATTTTTTTTCTGCATGCCAGCTCCTGATTGTAGTTAGTTCGGTGGTTATGTTATATTTTATGACAGCAATGACATTTCCTAGGTTTTTTGTACACTTCAACAGAGATATTCAATAACTTATTGTTATCAGAGCCCTTAGATATAATAGACACTATTTAATCTAATTTCCAGGATAGAATAGTTCATTTTCAGAAAAGTTGAACATAGTTCTATCCAAAGACCAATTTATATTGCATTGCATTTAATTTCCAGCTTGGTGAAGTTCTGTGATAGTCACTAGGAAACAGACAATTTTGATTTTTTTTTTTTTCCAATAGATGGAGGGGATTTGTACTTTGTGTTTAGGTAATGCTTGGAGATCAAAGCTCAGTTTGTGTATTTTCAATTGAAGCCTTTAATTTTTGTTTGCTGACTGGCAACAATGTCATTTTGGGAAAAGAATATACTTGTAGACTAAGTATTCCTCAATATTTTCACACACTGTTTTCTATTTTTGGGGAGTGACTGTTTCATGGGACAATTCTCACTAATTAGGAGTTGCTGAGATTGCAGCTAATCTTATTAGCACATGTGGCTTGCAAAGGTATTGGTAATGATAAATTTAATACTAGTTAATAAAGTTAATATTAGATGAAGATATCACCATATTATCAAGTTTCTCCTTTAAAACACCAGCAGATGTTATCATTAGGTGTTATCAAGGGTGCTTCAAATGGCATTGGTACAGTATGGTGAACTCTTAATATTAAATAATGACTTTTAGGCTGAAGAAATAACCTCACTGCTTTCAGCAGAACTGCTTGTGAAGTGAAGTACAGGTTGATGGGAATAAAAGGTCACAAGCCATTTTTCTCAATGGGCATCTGAAACTCATCCTAGTATGAAAATAGATAGCAATTTGTTGATTAGACTAGTCCTGTTTGTATTTTTTAGACAATTTACATGCAAAGTTTTGTAGACAAGATTTTTCCTTCATATTAAAGAGATATTCACGGTCTGATTGCAAAGAACAAATTTATCAAAACTTTTATTTTAACTGTTTGTTTTTAATCCATCCTTTCTTCTGTTCTTGCAGTCACTCCACAAAGTCTGTGATGGACTTTGTCAATAGCAATGAAAATATTATTTTTGTACACAACACAATACATCTCATTTCCCAGATGGTAGACAATATTATTATTGCTTGTGGAGGAATTTTACCATTGCTGTCAGCAGCCACATCCCCAACTGTAAGTACAATATTTCCACCTAGTGGTCATATTAGAAATTGGTTTTACTAACACAAACCAGTTTGCAGCTGACTTTTCTTCTTTAGGGACTCCTTTTGCCTCTCTGCTAATTCCTTCAAAAAATTTAAATTTATAATTAAAAGTGTTCAACCTTGATATTCAGAGTGTTTATAATATTTTGCATTTGAAATGCTAATTTTATTACAGGAGTAGTACTAAGTAATAATAATATTTCATAGATATTTAATATTTCATTTGAAAGTGAAGACCATTAGGATCACGGTTACAAATCATGATTACTGTAACAAAATTACATACTTTATGATGGCCAGTCACTGATATTCATAGATTTGCTTTGCATGGCCACCATTTGTTTGCATGCCAAATGATACCAGAAGTCATCTCGACTATTCTGTTTACTTCTTCCTTCAAAAGATCTTGATCTTAATTTCCTTTTTTTAAAAAAAAAAACACTTATTCTGAAATAGGCTGATATTTTTATCCATTATGATGTTCTTAGTAAGCTGTAATTTCTTAGGTGATCACAGTTTAGGCAGGCAGTCGCCTAATAGAATGCTTCATGAAAAGGGAGAAATATTTTGGAAATGTTGCATTATTATCAAGAGTAATTACAGTATTTGAATGTGATCTCATCTCAGTGCATATAATATCTGTAACTATTTCTTTCATACTAAATGTTTTGTCTTGAACATCCTGGGAGCATCTGCAGTTAGTATTGGTCTTTGAAAGGCAAGAAAGTGAGGCCGAGAAGGCTTGGAAGAGGCTCCTCTGAAGTGATGTGGCTATTAGACACTGGAGACTACAAATGTAGCATGGCAGTAAAAGCTCAATTCCTTGTTCTAGCTATTCAGCAACTGAGATTATTTTATTTGGTTCTACTATTACTTCTAGTTAGCTAGTAAAAAAACATATTTTACACGATTTTATTTGAAAGGTATGAATGTATGAACTAACAATTGGCTAAACGTTAGTATGACTTTCAGCCGAGCAATTAATGGTTAAATGCTGTGTCTTTACTGTTTTCACTGTGTTAATTGGGAAAATATTTGCTATAAGCAAAAGTGCAAGACTCACAGGAAAGACTTCAGTAGTCTGTAGTCACAAGAGTGACATCAAGGTTCACTGTAAATATTGACCAGTATGAGAGAGTGCACACCAAGCCATCTTGAGATGTAGGCTGTACTATCAGTCTTTAGATAAAAGGACATTGGGATATGTTTTCAAAACAAACCTTTTGGACATTATTTGAAAATGAGGATGTTTTCTTTGCCTTCTTTTATATCAAAATATAGAACAGACATAGCATTACTTAAGCTGCGATTTCATTGAATGGTCTTGGTGTTTTTTCGCTCCTATCCTGGTTTATGACAGTGCAGAGCCATTCTATAGAATAATAATTTTGCAGTTCACCATTTCCCTTCATTCTAGATAATAAACGTGTGTGTATAGATAGATAGCTGATACGGCTTTCTAAATTACACATCCAGTTGTTAAAATATTGTATGTTGACACTGCCTTTCTAAAATAGCAGTGATTTTCATGCATTGATACAAAAGACTGCATTTTCAAATTTGTGTATTATGCATGCACTTCTCCACTACATGGGGACTGTGTATGTTACTTAAATACTCAATTTTGCCAGCTGTGAAATAAACTAATTCACAAAAAGATCAGTATCTGACTTCAAACTGAATTAATCCTACTCTATGAAATTAAAAAAAAACCCGAGTGATTACTTTTGTCCCAGATGTACAGGGAGGGATGTACTTTTGTCCCAGATGTACTTATCCTCCCTCCCAGGGAGGGTGAGGATAAGTAATTGATAAAATTACAAATTGATTTCACCTGGAAATATTCATCTAGGCGATGATTTCACAATCACTTCCACCTAGCAAAGAGCATCTTCCTTCCCGTTCAATTCCATTCCTGTTCCATCATTGCTTGTCCATAAACATTAGCAGGCAGGTGAATTTATTCGTCATTGTGACAGATACGAAGAGCCCCGCACATCCTCCCTCCTTCTTAGAGAAGATGCTCTCCCTCAATATTGTTCTGGATCGCAGTTATGAAAGGACCAGGTGCCCTGTTGTGCATCAGATCACTGTCTGAATATCCATCATACGATGAATGAAAAGAAGTTTCATACTGATTCTCAGACTTCTGATACTTTTGCATCCTGAACTGCTGTGGAGAAAGTGAATTGCTGTTTAGGAATATATTTCTTCTCAGGCTTGAAAGGGCAAAGGAGTCCAGTGCTTACAATTAGTTACAAAAGACTGTCTCACTCTCCTTCTTCCAAGAACTGCTAATTGGAAAAGAGGTCTGAAACTGGAAGATTTATATGATGTCTCCACTGCATAAAACCACCTATGGCAGGCTTTTTGTGATACTTTCTGCCAAAGTAACTCTCAAGGGAGGAAAGAGCCAATATGCTTTCTCCCTCACCAATTCAAAGAATCGCAGAATTGCAGGATGGTTGAGGCTGGAAAGGAACCTCTGGAGGTCATCTGGTCCAACCATTCTGCTAAAGCAGGTCCACCTAGAGCCAGTTGCCCAGTACTGTGTTCAAATGACTTTTGAGTATCTCCAACGATAGAGACTCCACCACCTCCCTGGGCAACCTGTGCCAGTGCTCAGTTACCCTCACAGTGAAGAAGTGTTTCTTGGTTTTCAAATGGAACCTGCTGTTTTGTAGTTAATTACATTAATGAATGTTTTTTTTCCACAAGATATACAGTCCAAATTCTGTGTTGCATCTCATGAATCCCTTCCAGCCTTAACCATTCTGTGATTCTGTGTGATTTTGTGATTCTGTAATTTAGACTGGGCAGGGTATTAGAAGTCCGGTCAAGCAATACTGCGCTACTCTTACGAAAGCAAGCCGTTCACGTGTTACATAAGCTGCTTTACTGGGTCAGCCCAAGGGCCCAACTGGTTTAGCATTCTGCCTCCAGTGATGACTGCAGCTTACATCAAAATGGAGAAATCTGAGCAAGCGTATTGATTGCTCTGATGATACTTCATTTCAGCATTTAGGATTTTAACAGATAGTAAGGTGTCTCCGCTGTCGTGTTTAACTACTGAGGAATTTATCCTTCTAGGTTTTATCTAATCTTTTTTGAAGCTACTACCCTTTTAACCTTCATAATATCCTATGTCATTGAGTCTGACAAAGTAATTATATGACCTTTGAAGCACTTCTTGTCTTTGTTTTTTTCAGCTTGCTTAAATGTATAAAGTCATAGAATCATAGAATGGTTTGGTTTGGAAGGAACCTTAAAGATCATCTAGTTCCAGACCCCCTGCCAGGGGCAGGGACACCTTCCGTTAGATCAAGTTGCCCAAAAACCTCATCCAACCTGGCCTTGATCAATTCCAGGGATGGGGCATCCACACCTTCCCGGGGCAACCTGTTTCAGTGCTTCACTACCCTCAGAGGGAAGAATTTCTTCCTTAAATCTAGTCTAAATCTGCCCTCTTTCTGTTTAAATCCATTGCCCCTTATCCTGTCACTACACACCATTGCCAAAAGTCCCTCTCCAGCTTTCTTGTAGGTCCCCTTCAGATACTGGAAGGCTGCTAGAGAGTCTCCCCGGAGCCTTCTCTTCTCTAGGCTGAACAGCCCCAACTCTCTCAGCCTGTCTTCAGAGCAGAGGTGCTCCAGCCTTCTGATCCTCTTTGTGGCCCTCCTCTGGACTTGCTCCAAGAGGTCCATGTCCTTCTTGTGTTGGGGACTCCAGAGCTGAACGCAGTATTCCAGGTGGGGTCTCACGAGAGTAGAGTAGAGTAGAGGGGCAGAATCACCTCCCTCAACCTGCTGGCTCACCTTCTTTGGATGCAGCCCAGGATACGGTTGGCTTTCTGGGCTGCCAGCGCACGTTGTCAGCTCATGTTGAGCTTCTCATCAACCAACAGCCCCAAGTCCTTCTCCTCCGGGCTGCTCTCAAATGTATTCTCTGCTCAGCCTGTACTTGTGCTTTGGATTGTCCTCACCGACGTGCAGGACCTTGCACTTGGCCTTGGACTTTGTGAGGTTCGTGCAGGAATACCTCTGAAGGCTGTCAAGGTCCCTCTGGATGGCATCCCTCCCCTCCAGCATGTTGACCACACCACACAGTTTGATGTTAGCAAACTTGTTGAGAGTGCACTCGATCCCACTGTCCATGTCACCAACAAAGATGTTTAACAGCACAGGTCCCAATACCGGCCCCTGAGGAACACCACAGTGGAAAGTCACTATGTGCTTTACTGTTTATGCTGTGAAAGTAGTAGTTAATCACATCTTTATTCATCTCCATATCGTTTATCACTTTGGAGACTCGAGTCATATCTCCTGGTGTGCCTTTTTGATCCATAGTCTTCATCTTGAGTATTTGTCTGTCTTTTGAAGACTCCAATCGTCCATTTCTCTGTTCTGTGGAGCTTTTCTAAAACGGGTTTTCTAAAAGTTTTTTGTCAAAACCCTCACATTTTGTAGATCCTGTAGAATACATATATTTAGTTTATCAATAAGTATTTTTCTTCATTTCTTCGTTTTTCACTTTCATGGAGACTCTCAAATACTCTCACTGAAGGCCTTTTGGGCCTGCATTGAAATTTTAAAGTAGTAGTTCTTACTTATGTCCTCCTAGTACATTGTATTTGTGGCACGGGACACGTATTTACATCTACTTCTAAAAATTAATTTACTCTTTGTTCTGGAATAATGAAATTTGAGAGTAAAAAGGCTCTAGAACGGACAGTAAAGGTCATTCCACACTTTTACTTCAGGATGATGAAGCAGGACGGACTTCAGGAAGAGATTAGGGTAAATTTAGGTATCCACTTGAAGTACTTCATGTGGACTGGATTTCTAGCCAATGGAGATCTACTCAATAGAAGTGAATGATTCAGCTGTCTCTGATGTAGACATCTAGTGGCTGGTGAGCCAGATTCCCGTGGAGTCCATCAGCTGCAATGACTGTTGATCCATGATGTAACATCGTCTTGTCAAAAATCAACATCAATGATTGTCTTAAATGTCTATTACAAAACTCTCTTCTTAGCAATCTGTTACAGAGTTCATTGTTATTACATGAGTCCCATTGCCTCTGATTTTTTTAAAGGCATTTCACCTATTTCTCATTAGTAGAATAGATGCTGAATATGAGATGCTTGAATTAATTAAGGCTATATGCAGAAAAGAACCAGAAGATAAATTTAGCAAAATGACTTTCAGAATATTGGAGGAAATGCAGGTTTTTTTTCTTTTGTGCAGCAAATTCTGTATTGTGTTCCTTTCCTTGCTGAAAAAGCAGTACTATCACACGTTTTTTAAAAAAATGAATGTTTGGGGAATTTCCCATTTCAAAAAGACTTTCTCCTTTGCGTAGTTAGGATTTGCAGTGAAATAGCAATTCTTCAGGGCAGAGTGGAAGATTACTCCATGATCCCTTGTCTGCTGTAGAACAGGCAGTCTTAATTATGGAATTTCCTCACAAATGAATTCTTGTGATAGAAATCTGCCTTTTGCCTCTCTTGTTTTTTTAGTCCAGACTAGAATGATCTGAATAGTGCTGTGAACATAAGGTCTTAAATATGAATACGAAGAACAAAACAAAAAATCCATGATCTGTGAAAACAACCACTCACAAATCTGTGAGTGACTCAAGAGCACAGTGAATATTATACATTTGTATGGAATACAGGGGAAAGTACTGTAATTCACAGTAATCTATTCTCACATGTTTTAGTATTTCCCTTGATTTCAGTTCTATACCACCTCTGTCTCAGGGTCTGCACAAGGACTTGCTTCAGATGCTGGTGCTTTTAAAGGGTTGTCAATTGTATATATGAAACAATTTGAAATTGAACCAAATACTAACAAAAAAATAGAATCAGTTTTGTTGTTTTACAGTGTAAGATGGAGTGTGTTCCACTGTTGATCCTAATGTCTTGCTTATTAAATTGGGGAAATTAGATAACTCTGCCAATATTATAGGTAATATAGGTAATAAAATATAAAATATTGATTTTCTTTTTTTTTCTTTCTGTGGGAGAGATCTTTGAGGCTTTTTTTAATTACAGCTATAAGGAAGGTTTTTAAGATTGTGTAAAAGTATGAAAAAAGCATATTTGGGGAGCTGTAAGGAAAAAGGTTTGCAGAGGATGCTTTCTGTTAATAGCAACTGGTTGCCAGATAAAACTCTTTGTGTACAAGCTAGGAATTTGAAGTAATCATTGCTTACTACAAGGGTAGCAGGTGTGACAAGATGAGATATTTCTCTGTATGTCCCATATATAGTGTTAGCATTATCATGTTCATGACTCATGTGATGCCACAGGTGCTGTGTGATCTATAACACACATTCAGAGAATCAGCAGTGGCACACTGATGTGAAATTGTCAGCTAGTAATCGAGAGATAACAGCCACAGGTTAAGTCTTGAGGTGTATCCAGCTGCAAAAGAAGAACGCACTTTTAAAAACTGGTTGAACATGGTATTTTCTGTTTCAAAAGAAAAGCAAGCAGTTTGTTTCAGCTTGTTTTGCTTTCTATTAGTTTAGGTTTTTTCACTGACACTCTTGAAAATTCAGTTTCTTTCTCTTTTTAAAACATAACCAACCCATTGTGGTAAGAGGGAAAGTACTTCTGCCTAGAACTAAACCATAAAAGTTTAACACACCTGTTTAATTATGAACATTGGAATTTGAAGACTGACTCAGTCCCAAGGCTTAGTGAATCTTTACCTTTTTTTCTGTGTTTCAATAGTACTCAAATATCCAGTATGATGTTGGTTTAGATTGAAGAAGTCACACCCAAATGTAATATATATAATGAGCTATCTTGTGTTGCTTCAAAAGAAGGAGCATTATGCATGAAGAACCAGTTTGCTTTTCGTGATTTATATTTGTTTTGTCAGAGCATTTTAAACATATTTGCCTCCTCATACAAGGATTAACTACTTTATTACATTTCAGTTGAATGGCTTGTAAAATGCTCATTTTATTTCTATATAATCAGTGAAAACATTACTTTGGTTTGCATTGCTTCATAAAATTGCTCTGCATACTATATAAAATATGTACATTGGTTTGGAAGAATCAGTGTTTACATGAACTCCATAATAATACAAGATTTACAGTTTTCCTTGTGCATAGCTATCTCTTAGACGTCTTTATTTTCAAATGTTCATGCTGAGCTGAAATGTTTTACTGTTCCAATTATAAATTAAACAAATATATAATTCCAAGATACTAATTTGCTTCAATTTTACATTGATTTTTAGTTAACTTAAATAATTTTCTTTTTCTTTTATTGTTGTGATCTGTTGTCTGTTTTGTCTGTTGCATGTCCAGGGTTCTAAGGTTAGTATTGCTGCTGTAAGTTTCAGTTTTTTGCATTTTCAAAAATACCTTATTTTTGATCATTTAATATTTTGGCTTTTTTATTATTATTATTTTCCTGTATCATATAATAGGATGTGAATAGGAATATATTCGGTGTAGTCATTAGCATTTCCTAACGTATTTCCCTTGAGTAACTTAATACATTGTCAAGTATGATGTTTACTCTTGACTACTGGACTGAACGTGAACAGATCCATGAGCTAATTGAAGTTATGAATGTGGTTATCAATAGAAAAGCTCTCTAGGCCCTGAACATGTTCATTGTATGGGAGTCTTATTACTATTCTTAAAGTAGGCTGAATAGTCATGAAATGGTGATCAGTTCACTTTTTAAAGAATTTTTGAGCTACAGCTATCTAAAATATTGCTAATCCCTGAAGGCAGCTTGATCAACAGTGGAGCTTATTTTAAATGTTATTAAAATATCTATGTGCTGTATTTAACAGGTAGAACTGATGGTAAGTTTTGCTGTAAAAAACTGTCAGTGGTTTTTTTTTTCTTCCATTCAGCAGAATTTTAGGGAGATTTGTAAAAAGAGTTTGTTTCTTTTAATTCACAGTTTGCAAAAATCTTGGTAAAATACCCTAAAGTGTTATATAAAATGAATTTATTACATAACTTGCAAAACCAATAAATCGATAGATATTCTGAGAAGGTTTAGGACTATGACTGATGCAATATAGTCGAAGATTAGTCAACAAAGAAGGTCTGGTGGGGAATGTTGACGCTCAAGGACAGCCTTGGCTGCAGTGATCAGAAATGGTGGAATTCAAGATTCTTAGGGAAGAAAGGAGGGTGCACAGCAAGCTCACTATGCTGGATTTCAGGAGAGCAGACTTTAGCCTCTTCAGGGATCTCCTTGGTAGACTACAATGGGATGAAGCCCTGGAGGGAAGAGGGGCCCAAGAAAGCTGGTTAATATTCAAGGATCACCTCCTCCAAGCTCAGGAGCCGTGCATCCCAACAAAGAGAAAGTCAGGTAGGAACACCAGAAGGCCTGCATGGATGAACAAGGAGCTCCTGGACCAACTCAGGCACAAAAAGAAGGCATACAGAGGGTGAAAACAAGGACAGATAGCCTGGGAAGAATACAGAGCAATTGTCCGAGCAACCAGAAATCAGGTTAGGAAAGCTAAAGCCCTGATAGAATTAAATCTGGCCAGGGACATCAATGGCAACTCTCTTCTTCTGAGAGTTGTCATTTTACCATTTTTCTGATATTATTGGGAGGATCAGACAGATGACAGCCCTTCCCAAATCACTCATGTAACTGACGTGTTACATCCTTAAGATAAATTAAATTAACTGATATCTATCATTGTGGTGACACATGCCACATTATATCCTTCATCTTTCAAAACAGTTGTTTCCTTAATACTGTTTGGCACAGTTTGTAGTTTTATAGTTTGGGATGTACAGTATTCTGAAAAGTGATTAATGAGTGAAGATACTAATTTTTTTAGAAGTATGGAAATAAAAGATTTTTTTTTTCTATATTCCTTTTTCTTTGGAAAGAAATGGCCTTAACAGAATAAAATGTTTTGATTTTTTTTTTTATAGATACTTCTAAACAAATGAATAAAAATAAAGAAATATAACAAAAGTAATACTTTTCAAAGGGACCAAACTCTGTGTCAGAATAGCCCTGTGATCTGAAGTCTTGTTGACAATCAATGAGAATCAGCCATTTGTAAACAATTTTAAAAATAGTATTTAGACATATAAATGTGGACACAGTCAAGTACTAAATCCTGTTTTCAGTTTTGCCAGGTGTTTGAACAGATACTGATTTTTTTTTTTTTTTTTTTAATTAAACTGTTTCCTTGCTTAGCTGCACTGTTAGACACCTGAATGTATTTGAAAACATGCCTCTGGACAACTAAGTGGGTTTTTGGAGAAAAACCTGACTCCCTTTCAGATTTCAGAAATATTGACCTCATTCAGCATTTTTCTGTGGACTCCCATTAAGGAGGGTCCAACACTTCATTAGGAAAGAAATGCCCATTCTCAGGGAAATGTGAGCTTCGCACCATATAGCGTCACGTTTTTACTTCCCCTCTGTTACTGTCATGAGGGAGTGAACATACTCTCTTCTGATCTTCAGGAGAATTGGTCTCCATCAGGTTCCTATATGGTATAAGTATTCCTAGAAAGAATCCATTTGTGGAAACAGGGCAAAACTGTTTATCCCACTCCTCTCCTCACATTTACTTAATTATCTAAAGGAACATAAAAGCTATACAGACAGTAATTACTTGTATCTATTACCTGCCAGTTTGCTTAGCCTATGCAACCATGTAAGAGTATGTTGCACCTTTATATACCACGCATTGTTTTACTATCTGGCCACACTTTGTCTTTATGTAATTGCAAATAACTTCCTCATTTATTTTAGACTTTTTCACTTCTATTACAGCATGTAAAAGTAAATAATTTTCTTACTCCTCATGCTGTCTTACTTTGAATTTCACTCACAGTTTATGTTGATGGTAATAGTAGGAGATTTTTAAGTAACTTTTAAATGTATTCGTTATTAAGCATAGCAATTTAGATTTGTGTGTGTGTGTGCTGTCTTTAAGTTGTGTTCAAACTGTTTAATTCAATTATCTCCTTTTAAAGACTGAATTGGAAAATATTGAAGTGACACAAGGAATGTCAGCAGAGACAGCGGTAACTTTTCTCAGCCGTCTGATGGCAATGGTCGATGTATTAGTATTTGCCAGCTCTCTAAATTTTAGTGAGATTGAAGCTGAAAAAAACATGTCTTCTGGAGGTCTAATGCGACAGTGCCTAAGGCTTGGTAAGTCAGCAGACAGTATGTATTAAATAATTGCTTACAGATCAATGAGCTACAGATGGATCAAATAGTGATACATGTAGGCAAAGACTTTTACTGACTGTGATGTGATAAAAGAAAAATCCCGTTTATTTTTGATTTGATACAGTTTTAAGGTTGATTCAAGTTAGGCACAGGAATAAGTTAAAATGGCATGTCTGAAATTGTTCTTTCTTATGTATTTCAAGTTGTATGTATTTTGGGAGAGTAAAAATATTAAATATACGTAAGTAAATGAAGAAATATTTTTTTTTTCTTAAAACTACTTTGCTGCCTGCATGTTGCAGGTTTCCTTATCCAAGTCTTTGCATTTGGAAGACTACTTATAGACTATGTAAGATTAAAAGCATGAGATGCATGTGCAGAGTCTGTAGACCTTAATATACGTTGCAACAGTCTGACACCTCTCTTCACTATTTACTCTTTGCTATATGCTGTTACCATTAATTTAGGAAATTTAAAAATTTATGAATAATTCAAACTATTCTATGCAAACTGTATCACTTTACTCTTGTGAACATTAAATTTTGACCATCATCTGGCATGATGCTCTTTTGCTAATGTTATGTCCCAAATACTTTTTCATCTCTCAAATGATAAATAATTTTTGTACTCAGATTTTGTCTTGTTATTATTCATACCACTTATTAGGTCATTGATACTGCTCCTGGTATAAAACTTGTAGTTTATGATCAGTGATCAATTTTCATCAAATTCTAAATTACCGCTTACTGTTTTTTCTATTCTAGCTGTACAGAAGTACTTTCAGATTTTAAGTGTTGATAACCAATCAATAACATCCGAGAGCTCCAGTTCAAGGACTAATAATTTTCAAATTTTATAGTGATATAGCAGTTATAGAAAACATTTAGTTGTTCAACTAGAGAATGAAATTAATAAGTCACCATAACACTTTCTTAGTACTAACAGGGTCTAACGTGAGAACTGTGTTGCACTTACTATTTGGACTTGGTTATCAACGTATCAAACTAGATGTGCAGGCTGCTTATTGATGTTCTGAATATAATAATGAGAAAATATTATAATTTGCAGTATTTTCATAACTTCTTTTTAGTTTGTTGTGTGGCTGTGAGAAACTGCCTAGAATGTCGGCAAAGGCAGAGAGAGAGAGTGAACAAGACATCGTTAATCAGCAGTAAAACTCAAGATGTTCTTCAGGGTGTAACTGCAGCAGCAGCAACCAAGGTAACCCAGTCTTCACTTACCAACAGCAATGACAAGTCTATACCACTGCTTTATAGGATCAGAGAATATTTGTACCTGCCTTCTTAAATATTTGGCAAGAACTTAGGTTTTTCCTGTTAACTGCTTAAAGTAAAAGTGTGTGCGTGGGTTATTTGAAACAAGAAAACATTAATGCAATAGTATGACTGGAGCAATTTTAAACAGCTTTTTTGCTCTTGCTTGGTTGGCTTCAAAGAGCAAGTCCTCTGACTCACATCTGTCATAAATACCTGCACAGCTTTTTTTCATCTGCCAGGGCACTTGCAGTTTTGATGAAATCCTGCAATCACATCTTTGTTGGTGGAACATCTGAGCCTGTTAACTTCTATCTGATTTTAGGAATGAAACTTGTTTAATATTCAATTATAGCTTTCTTTTTCCAGTTTCATTAATTCATTGTTCATCTCTTTGTTCTTTCTTTTTTTTTTTTTTTTTTTTAAGGTATTTACAGCTTTAAGTCTTTAGGAATCCTAAAAGCAAAATCTCAAAGAATTTAGCACAGCCCATGACTAAAATACACCACCTTCTATGACATAAAGGATTCTTTTTTTTTTTTTATTTTATTTCTACTACCAAATTCAATGAGTTTTCTTCTCTAAATAGTTTTTCAGATAGCATTTACAAACTCAGCTCCTTTCACAATACTATTTCATTAAATCTCACAAAAACATTACATTTTTCAATGTTATCACATCCAATGCAAAACAAATCAGTATGAGGAGACCTTTAGATGTTTAGACATCATTTGTAATATATTATCATTTTTAAAGGACTCGTACTACTTTATGCTTTTGTAGTAATTGCAGTTATTCTGTAAGTACTCTGTAATAATTCTCAGTAAAATGAACATAAACTGATTTCTGAAAACGTCTCCTTGTTTTTAAATTTAACATACGTATTAGAAATAATTTATTGCACTGCTATGAAACAACTGTGACCCGAAATAACCTTTCGTGTGCAAGTTATTATCTTAACTCTTGGATGAGATACAGTTTTTTTAAGATACTGATAAGATGTAACAATTTGTATCTAAATAGTTAGTGTTAAGACAATAATTCAAAACATTATTTCTAGAACTTTCATCTGAGTAATATGTTGAAAGTTTATTGGTAGTACAAAAGCATTTAAGATTGATGCAATATCTAAAAAAAGTATCAAATTACAGTTCTAACAGAAATGTTTTTTGATATTTGGGGGAGGAAAAAAAATCTCACTACTTTTTATTTTTAGGCTCCCCTTGAAAATGTCCCTGGCAATCTTTCTCCTATAAAAGATCCTGATAGGCTTCTCCAGGATGTTGATATTAATCGTCTACGAGCAGTTGTTTTTCGTGATGTGGTGAGTAATATGTGCCGTCATTCTTTTTTCTGCAAAATCATCATTTATACTTTGAAAGAGATTTTGATTGTACCAGAATTAAAAATGTCCTTCATGTGTTGCACTTTGTATATTATCTGCAAACCATCTGTTTGTGGCTTTGTAACTGTCAGCTACTTTCTGCACTTTAAAAACGTAGTGGTAAACTGTTTGAGCTTAGTAAGTGACTACGTTTAACAGTAAAACTTGATCTTATATTAGCCAAATAATCAGAGCCAGAATAAATCAGCTATGACCTATGTTGATTAAAACTGTATTACTAAAGGTGTCCAGCTATTTGTACAAGGAAGAAGGAAGGTAGAAGGAAGAATATGTGTTGTGGTACTGCAGCAAATAGATTTATAAAGACAGTTTTTACTGTCAGTTTTATGTATGCTGTATATAAATATATACAAAAATGCTCTTCAGATTTGTGTGCAACTGTTTTTATCATACAACTGCACCACAACATGCTTGTTTTTGGAAGTACTACAATAGGAATTATTATTATATACATGCAAATAGAAACGTTATGTTTAAACTTGTCCTACTTGAGTTTTAGTGGATCAAAGTGAAGACTGAAGTTAGAAAGAGCTTTAAAAAGAAGAAAGTAGAACTTGACACAGAAAAAATTATCTGTCAGGATGATCTCATCATCTTGAAAGGGCAAGGCTGAATTTGGCTGGTGATCTTCTGTCACCTACACTTTTCTCAAGTAGGGGAGAAAGGAATAGGGAAAATATTGTTTCTGACATTTCTATGAAGTAAATTAATAGGAGCATTTCTAATTATTTTAAGGATTGCAAATATATGCAAGTAAATTAAATAACATTCAGAAAATATGGAAAGCAAGCACTGGATTTGTAATAGAAAATGCACACTTACAGAATTGAGACAAGGTGAAACCTCTATAGGATTAGATAGAGGCTGAAGTCTTAATTCTGCTGTGTTGAGTTTTACACATAATAATAATAATAAAAGACATTTCAATTGAAATATAGCAACTTTCAACTGAAATACTACAATAGAGCAAATAGGGCCTGTCAAATTTGGTGGCTTTCTATGACAGCATTACGACATTGGTGGATACAGGAAGACCATCTGACACTGTCTTGCATGCCATCCTTGTCTCTAAATTAGAAAAACATGGAGCTGACAAATGCACCACTCGATGGGTAAGGCATTGGTTGGATGGTTGCACTCAAAAGAGTTGTAGTCAACGACTCGATATCCAAGTAGAGGCCAGTCACAAGTGATGTTCCTCAGGAGTCAATATTGGGACTGATGCCGTTTAACATCTTTGTCGGCAACATGGACAGTGGGATTGAATGCACCCTCAGCAAGTTTACTGATGACACCAAGCTGTGTGGTGTGGTTGACACGCTGGACGGAAGGGATGCCGTCCACAGAGACCTAGATAGGCTTGAGAGAAGGGCCTGTGCGAACATCATAAAGTTCAACAAGGCCAAGTGCGAGATCCTGCGCAAATGTTCAAGCACAGGCTGGGCAGAGAAAGGGTTGAGAGCAGCCCTGAGGAGAGGGACTTGCTGGTGTTAATTGATGAGAAACACAATATGTGCTGGCAGCTCAGAAAGCTTCCAAAGAAGCGTGGCCCGCAGGTTGAGGGAGGTGATTCTGCCCCTCTACTCTGCTCTCATTGAGACCCCACCTGGAATACTGCATTCAGCCCTGGAGTCCCCAACATAAGGACATAGAGCTGTTGGAGCGAGTCCAGAGGAGGGCCATGAAGCCAATCCAGGGGGCTGGAGCACCTCTCCTATGAAGACAGGCTGAGAGAGTTGGGGTGTTCCAGCCTCGAGAAGAGAAGGCTCCAGGGAGACCTTCTAGCGGCCTTCCAGTATCTAAAGAGGGCCTACAAGAAAGCTGGAGAGGGACTTCTGCAAGGGCATGTAGAGATAGGACAAAGGGCCATGGGTTTAAACTGAAAGAGGATAGATTTAGATTAGATATAAGGAAGAAATTCTTCCCTCTGAGGGTGATGAGGCACTGGAACAGGATGCCCAAAGAAGTTGCAGATGTCTCATCCCTGCAAGTTTTCAAGGCCAGGTTGGATGAGACTTTGGGCAACCTAATCTAGGGGAAGGTGTCCCTGCTTGTGGCAGGGAGGTTGGAACTAGATGATCTTTAAGGTCTCTTCCAATCCAAACCATTCTATGATTCTAACTTAGGCTCAATCAGAGTGATATTGAAGACATACGTGGTAGTTGCCATAGAACAGCAGACTCTGTGGGGTAGGAGGAAAAGGACCACAGCAAAGTTGTTGTGGTCCTGGCATTTACTTAAATCAGACCCCCGGAAAACTAGGCTTGCTGCTGGTAATCTTGTTGAAGAAGAAATCAGAACATACGAGCTGGGATTTATTGCTGGAAGAAAACCAAAGATTGTATCCCTCTTGCTTTTACATGATACCAGAAGCTGTTACGCCTGCTTATGCCTCCAGCGTTAGCTAGAAATGCATCAATGAGCTTAGTTTTCCCTCAGCGTTAGGGAACATTCAGGGTCTCATCCTTGGGGCTGCAAAAGTCAGTTGTCAGTTGAGAAGCCTTGAAAGCACTCACAGACCACAATCAGGCCACTAGACTGAAAAGCCTATTGACTCTGTAGTCCCAGAGATTTGTGTAGTCGCGAAATCACCTTTAAGATTCGGTACTTAATACATGCTGTGTGCATAGTACTCCACTGAAAATCCATTAAATCTTCTGCATAATCCATTTACTACTATGTTAACAGACGTAACGTTTCAGAAAGGTATTATTTATAAAGCCTTGTGATGATCTTGTGTGAAAATTCTATGGAAATGTGCGGTATTATAGATCTGTTCCTTTTTCTTAAACACAGGACGACAGCAAACAGGCACAATTCTTAGCTTTGGCGGTAGTCTACTTTATTTCTGTTCTGATGGTCTCCAAGTACCGTGATATACTAGAACCACAACGAGAAACTGCAAGGTCTGGGAGCCAGGCAGGTAGAAATATCAGACAAGAAATAAATTCACCAACAAGTACAGGTACATTTGTTTTCTTCAAACATTATTTTTCATTTTGATATGCAGGTATTTTTTAGAACTGTGTTGATTTTACTACAAAGTATTTTTAGTGAATAGTTTAAAATCCAAATAGGAATTTACTTCCTACTTTCTTCTTCTAAAATCATTTGGTTCTTTAACATAGATTGGCAGATTTCAGTTATTCTGTGTATTTCCTTATAGGATGTAACTAATTTTCATGTACATATTGATTTTTTTATGCTTTTGTTTCTTTATTTTGAATATAATTGTAAAGAAACAGAGTGCCTGATGGAGTTAAAGCTGTAAAGACAGTTGATCAGCACAACTTCCTGAATCTGTTATTTGTTAGGAAGATCAGATATCTCTAACTCTATACCATGAAATGTAAAAAGAGCAAACACAGCTGTTTGCCCATGTGAACTCCTTGTGTTTGAATGAGGAGGTTTTTGCAATGGTAGTGGTGGAGGACTGAGTACTTTCTTGGAGTCCTGCTCTATTGGTGACTGCATTTAAAAGCCTATGGAAACAGTATAATAAAAAGGAAGCATTTCCATTGCCTTCTTTGACTGAACTGTTTGTGATTTTTATTAGTGGTAGTGTTTTTTACTAGCATGTCTTCTTCAGCCTGAGAGGGAGGGAATCTGTTAGCTGTCAGAACTTGTCAGAAATTAGGGTTCCAAACTTCACCCCACTTTGTTTCAAATATTTTATACTGTCAGTTCAGTAAGATTTTTCCATTCTGATTGGATTGATTACTACTCTACCTTCTATGTTAAAAGAGCTGAAAACAGTAACTGAATTTGTCCATGAAGCTTTTTATGTATTTTTTTCTTCTTGTATTGATTTTTAATTACTTTCTTAATTTATGGAGTTGCTAGGTTTCATTATTCATAGGATTTATCTTCCAATTTGTGTCATTTACAATTAGTCATTATTTTCTGATTCATCATTATGTTTTAATTTACTACTTATACATAATTTTTAAAGTCTATGTGCTTGTAGGCTTTCTATTTTAAATATACTACATGAATGTAGTCAATTATGAGAAATCATAATTTTTTCGTTCCTTCCTGGTTACATGTTATAGTTCTGCACTAAGAAACTGCCAGTTTCAGTCAACTATTTTACCCATAATTGTCTTGCCTGTGTGTGTGTGTATATATATCTATATCTATCTGTGTCTCTTTTTGCCCATGAATGTTGCTCTTGAAGTGCCCAAATAATAGATATGCTGTTTCCTATCTCTTGACACAGAACTTGTTTCCTTCCTTTAGAAATGCCTTTTTTTGTTGATAATACCATATTTGCATGTTTCAATGAGATAGGATATCTGTCATGGATCCACAGTGGACCAGGCCACACATGAATTCTAGCTGGCTCACATTTGATTCCATGATTTTCTCCACAGTTGTGGTCATACCATCTATCCCTCACCCAAGTTTGAACCATGGATTCCTTGCCAAGTTAATTCCTGAGCAGAGCTTTGCCCACTCATTTTACAAAGGTAATATTAACATCATCTCCTAACCTGTTTGGGTGTTCTTATTTAATGTAATGTAATTCAAGAACTAACTGTGATGTAATTGTTGATAAATAAGTATACGCCTCAGGTTACATGGAGATCAGACCTGCTGATACCTTTAAAACTTTAACTTCCTGCCTATATTTCTCTAGGAAATCTCTTTCCCACTTTTACTACCGTTTATTACCTTTACTTATTATGAAATAAAATTTAAAAAAAAAAAAAGCAAAACAAAAAAAAACAGCCAGAAAAAGGGAATGGATGTAGAAAATTTAAAATGCTTTTGGTTTGTGGTCATTTTGCTACAGTATTAGATCCATAAAAATAAAATCAGGCCTATTTTAAGATATTGCAAAGCACATAAAGTATGTAGTACTTTTGTACTATACCCTTTCCCCATATCTTTTCCTGTTCTTTTTCCTTCCTTTCTCGCTTTTTTTCTTGCCTTCTTGATGGTATGTAAAGCTCTGATATTGTATGTACTGTGAATTATTTTATGCCTGTTAGTTAATGTGCTGTGCTGTGCTTTACTTGAAGGAAACCGCTTTTGTGACCAGAGCAACTATTATATGTTTTGGGCCTGATTTGTTTTATTTGTTTGTTTGTTTGAATAGATACTATAAAATGTAGGGAATATGTTTTTCAGATGTCATTACTTGAAAAAGAGAGGGTTACCCGAGTGTAACTTTAGCCACGTTTGCATGTACATTTCCCCATTTATTTGCATGCACTGTGTTGCGAATTCAGAAATGTAAAATAGGTTAAAAAATTTTATCTGATGAAAATGTTGCTGGCATAATTTTGAAAAATCTCAATGGGTAAAAAGATTAATTCATTAAAAGCCTGAGAGATTTAAAATTGCATCCTTTTTATAAAGAACAGAAATAGTTAGCTGCCTACTTTAGTAATAATGCAGCTTATATTTTTCATACACTGTTCTGGGAGCATTATGTTAAAATACTCATTCCATCAACTTCAACTATCACTATGATACTGTGGCTTTTCTTAAACTTTGATGTGTGCATGTATGTGTATTATAAATCACTTGAAATTCTAACAACTTGTAAGCAAGGGTTTATGATTTTGATTAATGAGACTGTTGTCTGCTATCTAAAGGAAAAAAAATATTTTGGATCATTCAATTCGCTATGTGATATTCTTTCTTGTGACATAGCTTCATTTGTATTATTTAACTCATCTTTAATAAAAAAAAATCATTTGCTCTTAGTTCAGAAGAGTACAACAGCACTTTGTGGTATTACAGAATAAACCCCTAAAATTTCATTAAATATTGCTTTCTCATCTTTTTTATTTATTTATTTAGAGCATGTTTCTGTGTATCAGGCATTGGATATTTTATTTTTAACCACCTTTACTTGAAAATTGTGATTAGACTGCCTCAAAACAAGAGTTATTTAAAGACATTTTAATTTTTATTACATTTAATACAATAAAAATAAATTATGCAACATAGATGAGATTATATTGTTATTAGTATGAAGTTTGACTTTTGATATAATGAGTGGCAAAAGGAGGGGAAAAACAAGTAGTTTATATAGTATATAAACAAAATACATATAATGAAAGCAGAAAAAAGTTTCAGAAGGGATGGAGGCAACCATACAAAATCACCAAAATATTTCAGATAAAGCATATTTCAATAATTGTGTCTTCTATGCTATTGTCTATAGTACTTGTTTTACCTTGAATTCAAATAAAATATAGTTTTGTTTTGTTTTTAAAATAGTTCAATACAGCTGTAGTAAAAGTTTGAGCAGGAGACAAAAGAAAAGTGTTTTGGCTTTAGAAACAAATTATTCAAAAAGGGAAAAGTCTGTAGCTAGTTATTTTATTTGTTGATATCATCACATCCTTCAAGGTTTGAACTCTGTGAGGTCTCAGCCTCATACCTAACTGCTTGATCCGTTAAAGGAGAAAAAATATTCTGCTTTTTGTATTCTAAACCCAGTTCCTGTTTTGAACATTAGCAGGAAGTGAAATGAAAAAAAATTGCCAAGACTGTTGGAAAAGGCTAAAAGTCAAAACCTATTTTGTCATTTCAAGAATCTTTCGTTCCAGTCGACAAGCCAATTGGTTTCCTTTTTGGTGATCTGACATGCTATCAGACGTCAGCAGCAAGCATGTAATATTTGAATATTATTTTAAATTTTAAGATATTTTAACATATTAGAAAGTGGTTTAATGTAGCATTTAAAAGTAAATACATATTTTTGAATCAAAATCCTATTTACTAAAAAGTGGATAAAGATTCAGTTGTTACACGGAAGTAAAGCATCCATATTCTACTCATTCCTCATGACACTAAATGGATGTAAAGTATTTATTGTCAGTTCGATTCAGTACAGCAAATTGTATCATTATTGTTAGAATTGTAAAAGACTTCTTCGGGACCGATCTCTGTGAATTAAGGGAAAGGGATTGGCTGCTTAAAAGAAATCAATTTTTAGTAGATGGAATCTAATTATCTGATCAGGAAACGTGGGGGGAAGGATAAGACGGAAGTAGGTATATTACCAATATTTAAGTAAGATACTGATTTTTTTCCTTAGTGATGCTTCTTTTTTTTTCCCCATATACGGCAATATCTTTAGTTAAAATATATTTAAGGCTCAGTGAGATCCTGTTTTTTTCAGGCACATTTAATATGTGACTGGTGTATGCTTCTTATGAGTAACTACAGCTGGTGTCAAGTGTGAGTTACAGGAATTTTAAACATCTTTGTGCTTGATATGAAACTTTTGGGTTCTCATCATATAAAATGCTGACTTTTACCTAGTTTATTAATGATATTATATATGAATAAATCTTAATATTGACATAAAAGACTTCAAAATATGCTTAGCAGGGAAGTATGTTCTGTCTTTACTTACAAATGTACGTGGTAAAATAAGGATTTAATGTTTTTTTACTTTTAGCCAAATATTGTTCACAAACTAAACATTGTCTTATGATGCTTAGAAGAGAAAGTACACACCCAAGAAGGAAAAAATAAACCAGTACTGTCCATGACTACCATTTAACAATAAAAATGTTTATTTCTTTATAATGTTCTGTACTTCTGTATTTATTTTTCTTTATAAGATGATCCATGGGGAGGAGAAAAATGTGAATTGCTTTGTCTATTTACTCCCTGTCATATGTTTGTTACAAGTGCTTGGGTTTCTCCTACTAGTTTCTGGTAACTTTAAAGGGGCTGCAGTTCTTCTAAAATAGTCTGTGCTTAGTCAGGCAAAGCAGAACTTGTAAAATGAAAAGAAAGCTCCCTCTCTTCAATTTAGACCATATATAGTGTTACTCTTTGAAGTAATTTATTATCATGGTCTCGAGAAAAATAGCAGATCAGAACTATTCTCTTTAATCTGAAGGATTGTCTGAGGAACACAGTACTGCAAAAGTAAATGTTGGCAGACTTGCTTCATTCTGTTCACAATACCAAAGAATTAGAATGAGGTAGACTTTGGGAATGTGGAATGGCTCAGTTTCTCTGCATTTGTGAAGATTTAAAAATGAAGACTTTAAACCAAGACTTATTTCAACTGACTGTGATGAAGAGAAGTTCTTCAACATAATTAAAATATGGAAGTGTAGAAAAGATGGGAATAGCATCAAAAATGTCTTACAGAAGAGAATTGTTTTCACCTGACTAGTCAAAGATGATAGCAACAGTCTCACTATCTCTGTGACAGTGGGTAGTATGACCAAAAGCTCTGTACTAGATTTTCAGTTTTTATCTTGAAATCATCAGTCATATGTGAGTTCTACTGTCTGGAAAATATCAGTAGTGAATCAATGTCTGAGCTAGTCATCCTAGACTCCCTTCATAATAGGTGGAGAGAACTTAGGGCACATTGAGGATACAATTCATCTGGCCTGCTCTAGAGATCTCTAGTCTAATGACATTATGCACCTTAGTAGTATCCCCATCCCATAGATAGCTATAATTTGTTACATAGAATCATAGAATGGTTTAAGGTTGACCTTAAAGATCATCTAGTTCCAACCCCCCTGCCATGGACAGGGAAACCCTCCACTACACCAGGTTGCCCAAAGCCTCTTCCAACCTGGCCTTGAACACTTCCAGGGATGGAGCATCCACAACTTCTCTGGGCAACCTGTTCCAGTGCCTCACCACCCTCAGAGGGAAAAAATTCTTCCTTAGATCTAATCAAAATCTACCTTCTTTCATTTTAAAGCCTTTGCCCCTTGTCCTGTCACTACATGCCCTTGTAAAAAGTCCCTCTCCAGCTTTCTTGTAGGGTACTAGAAGGCTGCTCAAAGGTCTCCCTGGAGTCTTCTCTTCTTCAGGCTGAACAACCCCAACAACCCCATGGGAGCAGCCATGTCCAGATGAGGTCTCACGAGAGCAGAGTAGAGGGACAGAATCACTTCCCTCGACATACATGTTCATAGATACATGTTCTTCATTGAGTACTACATGTGTATGGTTTGAAAATAGGAACTTTATATCCATCTAAACAATTACATAATGTCCCCAACCTAATGACTGGCAGGCATTTTCCTGTTGTACTTGGAATCTAATAAATCTGAGTGATACATATCATTGTCCCTCCAGTAGGCCCTTATTTCTTCTCTTCCGACCTAACAGCGTGCAATGGCACTAATCTGCACCGTGCTCTGTTGTAAGCTGGTTTTGAATAGTGATTTTATTGTATGGTTGAGTGGGTTTTCAGTTTTGTCCTTTTGTTTCATAACTATTCAAGTCTCGATCTTGAGTCTTTTTTGCCTCGAGATCCTCCAAGGAGGTTATTCCTTGTAGTCTGAAGTACCAGCAAACCCCTTCATAAAATTCTTTGCCTTTGGTCTTTAGCAACATCTTCCACAAAGATCTTGTGTGAGAAATCCTGGTTGTGTTGCATTTAGAGCTTAATCTTTACTCATAGTGCTGAGGGATAATTTCAAATAATTTGAAAAGCTTCCTTTCAAATTCAGTAGGATGAAGA